GGCGTGACGGGGGAATAGAAAGCAAGGGCAGGTAGCTGTCGGGCGGCCACTCAGCTCCACCGCTCTTTGGCTTTCTTTCTCCCCCTCCCCCAAACTCTCCCCTGCTCTACCGTTTTCTTTGTCTTTGCCGTTTTGCGCGTAGGCGCCCATATTTTAAATATTCCGCTTTGAGAAGTAGGCTACGTCAGCGCTCGAACCTGCTGATTATTGGCTCGATACTCACAAAATTCGTAGCGCGACTCGACCATTTATTGAAATGTTTTTTAAGGAGAGCGCCGCCGGGGGTGCATCGGCCGAAGTTATCGTCGGCAGCGTTGCGGTAGGCGTCTGGCCCCCGAGGAAAGTGAGAGCACATAAAGTGTCCGGGGCTCCGGGATTGGCACGACTCGAACGACGCGGCGTGGCGTGGCGGGGCGGGGCGAGGTGGGGCCGGGCGTGGCGAGGCTGGCCGAGGGCGTTATGCGTTTACGAGGCTGACCCGTAAAACGGTCCCCATGGTGAGCAGGCCCGCTCAATCGCCAAAGGGCTGCCCGCCATCCGCCATCCCCGGTCCGGCTCCGGGGGGAGGGAGAGCGGGTGTCAAACTCGTGATGGATACGCGGGCCGCCCTGCCAGGACAAGAGGCCTTCGTCACGAGCGGCGCCGGGTCTGTTGTTATGTCTACGGCCGGACCGGAGCCACCGCGGGGGCGCAGAGCGGTGCAAAAGTGATTCGGATCGGACCGGACGGGATCACACGGGCAACAGTGTAGGGTGGGGGAGGTGAGCGGCTGCGTGCAACTGCAACACCTTGTAGCTTGGTGTGGTCAGTGTTGGGACCGCCGGCGGCCCCAACAACACTGACCCCTCTGCCCCAAACTAGTGTTACTACCCATGCTGCTGTTGTTGCTCTTGTCGTCGGTGGGGTTGGGCATACCGTCGGATAACGAGTTGGAGTTTGCACCGTGTCAACCCCCCAAGTCCAGGAGTCTATCCCCCCCCCCCTTTTCCATCTCCTCGGGCGACGGGGTGCTTTTCAGGCTGATCACGGGAGCGTTCGTAATCGGCAGATGAAAGGAAGGTGGGTCGAGGATGCAGAGACGCAGTCGCCGGCGGAATCCTAGTTCTGGACCAGTCTGAATGCCGCCCCCGCTCCCTCCCCTCCCTCCACCTGTCTGCAAGTCATCGCGGGGGGCCAATAGTAAGGAAAGGTGGTGGGGAGCGAGGCAAGATCTGGGGCAAGTAGACTTGATTCGGAAAATGAATTCTTACATCACAAAATTTCTAAATATGTCAGTCATTGTTTGAAAGTCATTATTTTACCACATTTTAAGTAAAATCTTACGTCAAGCAGCTCCTTATACGTATTTTTAGAAAGGTAAATGCGACCAAATAAATATAGGATCGTTGGTAGTAAAAATTGGCGTTCGCGTTCGTCGAGAAAAATCTCTCGGATCTTTGCTTTGCTGGGTTCCTCTTTCCACCTATGGCGCGATGGTGCGCGGACGACGTCATGTTTGATGTTTGGTGAGCGTATATGGGTCTAGGTGTGTGTGCGTTTGTAAGTGTTAGTGTGCGCGCGCGCGCGCGCGTGTGTGTGTGTGTGTGTTTGCGCGCTTGTTTCGCGCAGCCCGCCCCGCATCCACTCGTTATGTGGGATTCGATATATCGGAGGTGCCCCTCGTTTTCGTCTTGGCGCCGCCGCCGCTCAGCCTCTTCCCACCCGCTTTTTCTCTTTTTATACGCCCTTGAGCAATGCCGAGCGGAGACACGTCGGCAAACTGAACGTGCTAACTTAGGCGGATTTGTACTCGTCTTGTTCTTGCAACAAGAAAAACCAGAAAAACATATTGCGTACGATTTCGAGTACCAAGAAGAGACCGCGGTTCTTCCGTTCTTCTGCAAAGGATTTCGCTCAAATGTGGGACAGAAACAGGTAGAAGGGGGGGGGGGCGGAGGGGAAGCACGACGCAAAGGAGCCGCCTTCGTGAGTGGAACAGCTATCCGCTCTGATTCCAAACCAACGGCGTAGCGAGAGAGAAAACACTCCTCTTTCCCCCCTTGTCTCGCATCCGCATCCAC